CAGAGGATTCAGGATTCCACAGCTTGAAAAAAGCCCTGTTCTAAGGTGTTAGCCAATCCAAGTTTCTTTCATCTGCACATTTGCTAACCATTCTTTTTATTACATTCTCTAGATCAGTGCTTCTCAACCTTGGCTGCTTTAAGCTGTGTGGACTTCAACTCCCAGAATTCCTCAGCCAGCCATGCTGGCTGGAGAATTCTGGGAGTTGAAGTCCACACAGCTTAAAGTGAAAACAGATTGTCCTGGAGCACTTAAGGAAAGAATGTTATAATTATTAGGATGAAAACAGATTGTCCTGGAGCACTTAAGGAAAGAATGTTATAATTATTAGGACTGAGGAATTCTGGGAGTTGAAGTCCACACAGCTTAAAGCAGCCAAGGTTGAGAAACACTGCTCTAAATTGTTTATAAAAAAATACTGAATAGCACTATGGAGCCCTAGGGAACCCAACACAGTGTTTTCCTCCAAACAACGTAGATCCACATACAGGCCCTATTTGGGTGCAATGATTGAAACAGTTGCAATTTCACTTGACCGCAGTACTGGCTAGTCCATGTTTATCCATCTTGTCTACAAGGATATCATGAGAAACCTTGTCAAACACTTTGCTGATTTCCAAGTACCCTATATCTATTAAGGTTAAAAAAGAGATAATGTTAGTCTGATATGACTTGTTCTTGACAACCCAGACTGGCTCCTAATAATTATAACATTCTTTCCTTAAGTGCTCCAGGACAATCTGTTTTCATCTCTTGCCCATTCATGCATTAAAGTAAGTGTTTTGTCATTTCACAGACCTTCCTCTTCTCATTTTTTGAATATTGCAATGATGTTTGTTCTTCTCCAGTTTCTTGGAACCTCACTAGCTGTCCATGAGTCCATGAGTTTTTCAATCTGAGATCAACTTATGCCAACAATGTCAACATCCTGGAATGTAATTTGTCTGGCCCTGGAGACATGAATTCATTTAAGGTAGCAAGATGAATTTTATTATTTTTTTTTATAAATCCTGAGCTACATTCCCTTCCTTTCCTCCTACATAGTGAGTAGGGCTTACTCCTGAGTGAAAATAGAGAAGAGAAGGTGTTAAACAGCCCTTCCTTCTTTCTGTTCCACATTACTGTAGTACTTCTGCACCTTCCCCATGGAACAGACCAAAGTCTCTTGACTTCTCATTTATTTCGGACATTTCTTCCCTAAATCCTTCTTATTATATTTTGCATTCCTCACCAGCCCCATCTCATTCTCAACTTGAGCCTATCCCTACAGGCTCAAGTTAGTTTAGCACATGTGGAAGATGGTATTTCCAGTTCTCTAACTCGTCCTATTTAGGGTTGCAGTAGTAAATTGGTTAACGGCTTTTTAAAAATGTTATTTAATCAACTAAAAGTGTGCTTCAGATTATCTGGATAGAAGTTATATAAACAAGGCAAGTTCTTATCAACATTCTGCATACATGGAGAACATACCCATCAAGCTATTCCCTTTCAGAGAAATCAGTGTTGGAATTGCCTTCACTCTTCAGCACTTCATGACCTATTGACCATACCAAGGCAGTAGGATATAAAGTTTACTTTATGTATATTTTTGGCCATCACTTTCCCTGTTCTTTGTTTAAGAAATTGCTAATCTGAGGTCACTTCCTTCTACCTTTGTTCACAGGCAGGCAGTTAAAGACCACATGCTCTCTGACTCTCTTCCTGGTAAGATGGGGTTAGCTAGATGCTAGGTTTTTGTCTATATAACATACTTCCTGTAAATAAATCTCCTTTCTGCTATTGTTATAAAGTTTGTTTCAGTAATCATTGCTCAAGCCAGATTCCTGCTGCTAAAAACGCTCAGAACACTCCACCTTCCAGCAGTGCAAAGCTCAGAAAAGGAGTAAGAAATAATAATAACTTCCTGAAATAAGACAAAGAAAAGGAATCCATTAAAGCTGGTTTACATGAACAATCATTCACTCTATTTTACCTGTCCAACACAAAAGATTTGGTCCTTGAGACATTAATGTTGATGTTTGTACTGCTCATTACATCATAGAATCTATGTGCACGGACTTTTACTTCCCCATCCAATGCCCCTCTAATGTCACCATAAGCACTGAACAATTCTCACAAACATTCCCTATATTCTTACCCAGGCCTTCAACTCCACATTCATGCAACAAAACAAAATAAAACCTCATTATGCAAAACCTGTAGACAGGGCAGGAAGCCAGTCATGAAACAAACTGGCTCCAGGCTGGCAAAGGAGCGTGACAAGGCTGTATCACTTCCCCTTCTTTATTCAACCTGTATGCTGAATATATATTGATGGAAGCTAGATTAAGAGGAGATGAGTGTGGTTTTAAAACTGGAGGAAGAAACATCAATAATCTGTGCTATGCTGACGATGCTACTCCAATAGCTGAAAATGCAAAGGATCTGGAAGCTCTAGTAATAAAAGACAAGGGGCACAGTGAAAAAATGAGGACTCAGATAAAAATACAAAGAAGGCCAACAACAGGTACTGCAACCAACATTAAAACTGAAGATATTGAAGTGCATTTTAGGATTCATTATCAACATTAAAGAAACCAACAGTCCAGAAATACAGGATGTGGCAGACTAGCAGCTGACAGAGTAGCAATGAAGACCTTGGGAACGATACTGTATTCAGATGCTGTGATGTGTCTATACCTATAAAGATCACACATAGAGCAGGCAATGTTTTCCTTATGACACTCTATGAAAGTGAAAGTTGGATTTTGAAGAAGCAGGGTAGAAAGAGTATTGATGCTTTTGAAATGAGATGTTGGAGAAGACTCCTGAGTATATCTTGGATAGCCAGGAAAACAAACGTATGGATCCTAGAACAAATCAATAGAGAGTTCTCGCTCAAGGCACAAATGACCAGCTCAGTCATCCTATTTTGGACCCATTCTGTGAAGACCTACCTCTCTGGAGAAGGCTCTAATGCTGGGAAAGGTGGAAGGAAAGAGAATAATCAGCAGCAAGGCTGATGGACACAGTTACAGCAGTGATGGTGTACCATTGGATGAGTTGAAAGACCAGGTTGGTGGCAGATCCTCCTGGAGAAAATCTATCTATGTGGTCACTTAAACTCAACACTGACTTGATGACGCATAATCAGTCGATCAAAATGTCATGATGTTGCCTTCATCACATCGCTAATCCACAGTTGAAACAACCTGAAGTTGTCCTTAGCCTTTTTAATTTTTAAGTATTTCCCCTCTTTGGGTTCCAGGTTTAAAGTGGTGTTTTCCCTCTTCTCCCAACCCAATTTTGGCCATAGATGTGATCCAGTATGCCTGACTGATGGCGTGGTTGAAGGCTTCAGACTATCCCCGGCAAGCCCTTCTCAGCCTGGTCACCAGGCACTGCAAGAGAGACAAGATATCTGGCTTTCACAGAAGCATCTGCCTAGGTCATGCTTGACTATTACTCTCCAAAGTACTTGTCAGGCCTGATGTGGGCTCCTTGAATACACAGGTATAACACTCCTTTGAAAAAGCGCTAGGCTTGTGTCTCAAAAAGAGTCTAATCTTGCGCTGTGCAGATCGTCAATCTTACTGGGAAAGAGAGCTGGGTTCTGTTAGCTCTGTGCCAGCTGGTCCTGTTATGAATATGTAAGTGCATTACAGGTTTTTGGTGCTTTTGCTGACAAGCAGGTTAGCATGCCTGTGCTTTTTACTGTTTTTATTACTGTGGTAGCAGAGGCTCTGTTTTGTCTATTCCTACCTCTTTTTGTCTGCTCCAGGGGCTCTATCTGGGGTCTCCTTGCCATGGCCACTCACTCCTAGCACTGCCTTTCCCTTCACTAGTCGAAGATACGTTGCTCTATACCAGTGTTTCTCAACCTCAGCCACTTTAAGATGTGTGGACTTCAATTCCCAGAATTCCCCAGCCAGCATGCTGTCTGGGGAATTCTGGGAATTGAAGTCGACACATTTTAAAGCTGCTAAGGTTGAGAAACACTGCTTTATACAATTGTCCCTTCTTCTTCCCTGTGCACTCCTCTTCTATGCTTGGCCCTGTCAGCATGGCTATTTTGGGACATGAGTTTAGAAGAAGCAATTTACTTGGGCAACTTGACAGATGGCTAAACCAGCCATTCTACTCTTGCTCATTCCTATCCCGCCACATGTTAAGGACAGTGATTGACGGTTGTTGTTCCTGCTGGTAGGTAATGCTCAGTAGGAGAGGAAATGATGCCAGGGAGTCCCCCAGTTGCTTTCCTTAATTTGTCTTACATTAAAAGAGTAAGAGCAGCACCATTCACAGACCTTGTTACTGACGCAGATGCAGAATAGGGATCTGCAGTGAGGCCAGAGTAATGCTGATATACTTCTTTTGCCAGCTCACAGACTGGAGCACATCACTGTAATGTGGCCATCTGGCTGTGCCCTAGGTTCTGACTATGCCACATAGAGCATTCCCTGCTAATGGTAAGGGCCATACCAGTTGCTCTGGGCACATTTTGCCCAGCATGCCACAAGCACAACCATAGCCCAGTTTTAGCCCAGGCATGCTCCCACACTTCTATGCAAGTTAGGATCTCTGCACTGGAGACCTTCTTGCAAGCCAAAATACCATTGTCCATATCCACCAATTCAGAGTATATGCATTGTAGTGACGCAGACTCAGGATAAAAATTCTCTGTGAAGTAGATTCTTCACAAGATTTTCTGTAGAGTAGATGGCTCTGTTCTCCGATGTCATCTGATATGACCAAGGTCCATCCTCAGAATCAATGTTTGCTTCAGGCATTCAAATTACCACTTTTTCCTGATAGGCAAAGCCAATCATTCAATGAATCCATTAGAACTACGGTAAGTAAAAGAATGGCTCTTATGGGCTGGGTTCTATCCTTGCTTTCCCTCACCTGTCCTGAAGATGGCAGTGGTGTGCCATGGATTTTGCTAACAAGCGCCAAGGTCCAAATCAGGCTTGGACCTATGCCTAGAAGCCACCCTCTTTGGGAGTTGACACAGCCGGATTGCATCCTGTTTGCAGTTGAAACAAGCTTTTTCCAGCAGCTGCTTTTCCTCCAACCCTCTCAGGAGAAGTGGAGCCGGCTGGCATGGCCCTCTGGGTGCTAGTTTTACTGGTGGCATTTACTCAAGGTAGGTGACTAGGGCAGGAAGATGCACCTGGGGAACTGGAGGGCAGCTGCACAGAGCAAAACTGGGCATGATTGGCGGTCACCCATTTATGCTATGCAAGAGATGACCTGTAGTGTTGGTCTGCTCATCTAGAGGCTCTGCATTCTGCAGGAAAGTCAGTGCACTCTGCCAAGGTGAGTCGAGTGGCCCATTTCCCAACTCCCTGCAGTAACTGTAGCTTTTAGCAACAGCTTGACATTCAAAGAGCAGCCAACGCTGTGAAAACCTTCACCTTCCCAGAGATTTTTAAAACACCTCTGGGAAGGCAAAGGTTTTCACAGCATTGGGATAAACCCTGGCTGCTCTTTCAATGCTGAGTTTTAACTCAATGATAGACTGACTTCTTTGGATCAGTCAAGCCCCACTCCCACCCCCAAAAAAGAGGATGCAAGATTTTGTTTCCTGTTCCTGAGAGAGATGAGGAAGTGAGCAATTCTGTGTATTCACAAGAGAGGCAGAGAGAGAATCATGAAGGAACTAGAAAATAATAGTTGAAAACTTGGACAATAAATAGAAGTCTGGCTGACCAATTCTCTTTATTATGCGCAACAATCAGTAATAAGAATTAGGATTATATACCCTTGAAGGCATGAAACATTTTGCTTGATCTACTCCAAAGGAGTTTGTCTCAGTACTTCAGCTCTTAACCAAAATGCTAATGTGACTTTAGTTAATTATTTAACTAACACCAATAGAAATTTTTATGGGCTTTAGTTTAGGCTGCAATCTTATATGAGATATATTACATTCTCCACCCTGTAGACCTATAGGAGTGTCAGTCCACAATTTTGATAAGCAGCAGTCTATGCCTGTTTGATGAACACCGTATGAATGGTTCTCCAAGAGTATAGAAAATGCCAAGTTGGAGGAGACCACCATTGGCCTTTTCATGGCAATAACCATCATTCAATCCTTCTTTAAAGTACAAACCAGAGTTTAAAGAATGAATCTAATAAAATAAATATAACTCATGCAATAATTCCAAAAGCTCAGGATAACAACGGAATAAACCAGCTTCAAATAACTTGGAAGCATTGTTGGAATATACAGGATTTATTTAGCTCCAAACATTCAAAACAATTTCCCAGGACAATTTACAATATCAGTACAGAATGAGAATTGTCTAAGAAGAACAGAAAACCAAAGCAATGAGCGTAAAAAACAACCAGAAAATTGACACTGGAGAGAAAACATAGAGTGAAAATGTCTAACAGTCTGACAAAAACATTAGTGACTTTTCCTAAGTATATTTCATAATTGGGGTTAGAGTATATTTAAGCAGCAATGTTTAATAGCCCCAAATCTGCTAAACAAACAATTTAAAAAAGTCACTTGTGCATAAACTTATACTTGGGCCATTGGATGATGGGGAAAACAATTGTTAAATGTATCTTTTAATGATTTCAAGTTAATTTTTCACAATTCTAAAGATGCCAGCAAGTGTGAGGCTTAGGTTATTTTCCCAAGGTATGTTATAAACTTTGTAACAAGACCTGTTATCATGTCAAAACCCACTGACCATTTCAGTTCCTTGAAAGTACAAAATGGGTCCCACAAATGCGCTGGTTGATTCTTTGCCCCCAAGAGCAAAGAAATGCTGGATTAACCAGGAAACTGGTTTCGCCAAGAGATGTTGATAATGTGGAAGGGTTGTTGGGAACATGTGCACTTTTTGGATTACACCGAGGGTGTTTTGTACAACTGTACAGCGTGTTATAACAGGCTGTTCCCAAATCGCATCGTATCCTTTTGCCTGGTTTTGGCAAAGCTTTCAGCCTAGCAGAAAGCAAGATGTGGGAAGCTAATGAAAACTATGTTTTCTCCGTGCCCGGAAGGTGGAGTGCTGCTATTTGATCTCCTGTGTAAATATATTATTTGTGGAATAAGGGCAGGTAAGGAAACAGCCCTTCACTCAGGCGGGTACTTGCTGTCCCATTGCGATACTGTACACATTTTTACTTTCATTTTCCCGGCTGGTTGCACTGCATTATGTGCCTCGCAAGCAAGGCACCAGAGAAAACCTGCGGGCTCCAACATTACAAAGAATTCTGAATGGCTTTCTAGACAGCCAGCTCATCTGATAGTCCAAGTTTTTGCAACACAGGGTTGAAGGCCCTAGACGACTTTGGAAACTCCTATACTTTTGAACTTCTGTGCTGTCCTTCCAAGCCCTATCTTGCCCCACTAACATTAGGGAGGAGAGAATCTGGGACTGCCTGCTGAGTACATTAATCTAGATCAGTGTTTCTCAACCTTAGCAACTTAGCCAGCCATGGGGAATTCTGGGAGTCGAAGTCCACACATCTTAAAGTTGCTAAGGTTGAGAAACACTGATCTAGATTGATGCTGATTGCTTCCAAGCTGGTAAGTCTAATGACAGGTATTCTCCAGTCACATCCCATTGCATCTAACCATGCCTGGATACTGGAATGACAGCTAGCAGCTTCGTCACCCTTTTCCCAATCCGTGTATTTCACCCCAGTGGACCCAACCAGAGCTCTTTGGAATACAGCTAGTTAGGAAAGCCAGAGGCCCCCTGACTGGATGGATCCCCTGGAGGACAGAAACCATGTAGCCCAGTGCTTTTCAACCTTGGCAAATTTAAGATGTGTGGACTTCAACTCCCAGACTCCCCCAGCCCACGTGCATCATAACATGCAACATCTTAAAAGTTGCCAAAGTTGAAAAACACGGATATAGGCTATATTTGCATGACATGCTTATCCATGGTTCACTGAACAATGGCTCACTGAATTAATCCAGGGGGGTCTGTGGGGAGGGGATCAAAAAAGTCAGGATGTCAGCCACAGCCATAGGAGTGAAGCCCCACCCTTTTTTTCATGTGTCAAACGTTGCAGTTCACAAAAGCTGAAGCCTTTTCATAAGATTTATGGTCAGAAAAGGTGCTACCTCCTAATTCTTTGCCACTCTAGACTAACCCAGCCCTCCTTTGGTGACATCCTGATGTAGAAGCTGCTACGCATTGAAAAGCAGTGTTCACAGACCCACACCGCACCTGGAAACACCCTTTCCAGCAGCAAAACAGGCCTGAATTTTTAGTGTCAAGATATTGTTTGCCTTGAGAATCACTTTAGAACCAGTGCAAAGAGCCAATTTTATAGGGAAAGGAAACAAGAGACTTTGAAAAAGCTCTGAAGGGCACAAATACATTGATTTGTGTTGTTATGTAAGAGGATTTAAGTGGATTCTGATGCTGCTTCCAGGAAGTCCACAAGTCAAGGAGAGCAACAGGAGAAGTATTATTTGTCCTGTGTCTGCAAGTAAGGAGGTAGACTGCCTCTCCATAGGAAGGTTGTATTTAGTTGCTATATCTAAAGCATGATAAAGTTGCTGTCTATTATTTTATATTTCTAAGAGCCTCCCTACTATCTTTTAAAGAAGAGGTGAAGGCTAACTTCTTCCGCTGAGCCTTTGAAACATACACTGATGTTCTGATGGCTCTCTTTGTTGCACCTGGAAACTCTGTTTTCAGTTACCGTTTTTATGATGCATTTGATGGGTGTGACAGGTTTTACTGCTGTGAGTTGCACAGAGTTGACAACTGAGGCGGCTCGTAAGTGCAGTAAACTAAATAGCCCGAAGTGGGGTAAAGATCTCCCCATCCATTCCCTGTTTCTGACAGCAGCAAGGATAATGTTCCACAAAGCCCACTAGCAGGTCAGAAAGGCAGTAAATGATGCTTCCTACAGTAGCTAATAATTGAAGATAGACTGCAGTTGAAGCTGGAGGCTCCATTAAACCATAATGAGTAAGAATGGGTGATAAAACTGATTTTGGTACACTTTGATTGTCTGACTGTTTGGTCTTTCTGCAGATAGCCTTTCTGCTTCAAATAACACAAGCAGAGCCGGTCTCCTGGAGACAGCAACAGCTAGCCCTACAGCAGCTGCTACAGCCTCAGATATAACACAGAGCGCTGCAGATGTCACCTCCAAAGCAACCAGCGCATCTAGGCCTCGATCCACCGAAGCCACCAGCAGCGCCACAAAAGCAAACAATTCCAGCACCGATCTGGTCACCGTGATTTCTCCTACCAGTTCCACAGCGTCCCTCACTAACCAGAGGGCTGAGTCCGTCAACAGCAGCACTCAGGCGGGTAAGAGGAAATATTGTAATCTGAGCACCCTATCGACCTGATCACGGGGCAGTTGGATTAGTTTCAGGGGTCTCTGTAGGGAGGGGGTCAAAACAGTGAAGGTGGCAGCCACAACCATGGGATCAAAGCCCTACCCCTTTTTACATGCATCAAAAAAGTCAACATGGAGCCCACAACCATGCTATTGAAGCCCCACCCTGCAGCTGCTTATATTTAAAGGGAGACCACAGTTAATGCACTTTTTCAGGCCTTTTGGGTTTGGGGAGCCTCAAGATCTAGGAGTTTATCATCTTTGGTTCTTGACGGGTTGCACTACCCCAGACAGACCCAGTGCGTAATCTGGGGGTTCTCCTGGACTCACGGCTCCTGTTTGAAGAGCAGGTGGCAGTCATGGCTAGGAGGGCCTTTGCGTAGTTACGCCCCTTCCTCGATTGGGAGGCCCTCCCCACAGTCGCTCATGCCTTGGTCACCTCCTGGTTGGACTACTGCAATGCGCTCTCCATGGGGCTACCCTTGAAGCGTATTCGGAAGCTACAGCTGGCGCAGAATGCAACGGCACAGACAGTTCTGAATGCCCCTAGGAGGGCACATATAACACCTCTGTTACGCGAGCTGCATTGGTTGCTGGTTTGCTTTCAGGTCCAATTCAAGGTGTTGGTTATCACCTTTAATGCCCTTCATGGTGCAGGACCAGGTTATCTGAGGAGCGGTCTTGCCCCCATTATATCAGCCCACCCCACTCGGTCCGGCAGAAGGGGCATGTTGCAGACCCCACCAGTCAAAGAATTTCGACTGGTGGGGTCTAGGAAGAGGGCCTTTTTTGCTGTGGCCCCCACTTTGTGGAACAACTTACCACCTGAGGTGCGGTGTGCTCCCACTCTCATGGCCTTCAGGAAGAGCGTGATGTCTTGGCTATGCCAGATGGCCTGGGGGCCGGATGGGGGCTCACACCAGTGGAAGTGGCTTGTGGAGTAATTGATTTTACTCCCCCATCATCTTAAATGTTTTTAGTTTTTATGTATAGGGTTTGTTTTTATAGCTTGACTTTTTAATTAATTAATTAATTAATTTTAATGAACTAATGTGGGTATTTATTTTTTAACTGTTTGTGGGTCCCCATCATCTTAAATGTTTTTAGTTTTTATGTATAGGGTTTGTTTTTATAGCTTGACTTTTTAATTAATTAATTAATTAATTTTAATGAACTAATGTGGGTATTTATTTTTTAACTGTTTGTGGGTTTTACTTTGTTTGTGAGCCACCCAGAGTCACCTGCTGGGGGAGATGGGCGGCATACAAATGAAATAAATAAATAAAAGTTAATGCACTGGACTTGACCGTAGCACATCTTAGCCAATAGCCCTGGTCGCACTTGCTTTCCACTAACAGAAATACACCTACATAGTATGTTTGCAGCACGTACTATATATAATTACTAACTTTCTTTCCATCTAGCTTCCTTATATTTCTCAACATTTTCTATCCTGTCAAACTTTTATTTTATTCCGGTTCATTAGGGCCACCATATTTAAACTGCAAAGATCTGGATAGCCTCTAGATGGTGACAGTAAAAAGGGGAAAAAATCCTCAGTAATGTCAGGTAGCAGTGGGCCTGGATTTTTGCTGCTCAGCGATCCCAGTGCAAACTTTAGATTGTCACTTGCCATTTGGTGGATTGTGTAAGTGGATTGTGTCAGTGTGTCTCAGGAGCCCAAAATATTGATCTTCTTGCTTTCCTTCTCTTCAAACCAGCACAGTCAAAGGAGCTAAAATCATGGTGTAAAAATGCATAAAATGTAACTGTAGAAAATTATGTCTGCCTGGATAAAATATTTAGTAGAACACAAGGCAATCAGTAGCCTTTAACAATGTTTGAAGAAGTTCAGCCAGTACAGCTTTTTCTCCTGGAATGGAGATCCTGTGATCAGTTCTGACCCATTGAATTTCGGGCTGCTCTGTGGCTGTACAAAGGGAAGGGCAGGAATTTGTAATATCAACAAGCTGAATGAAATAACCATTAGGTGGCATTGCAGTCTAACAATAGCCTTTGTTGCAACAAGTGTGTTAGTTTTCCCATCCAAAGGATAGAGGAGAGAAGGAAGAAGGATCTTTCCAAAATGCTAAATCAAGAAAAGTCGCAGAACCTGTTCGTAAGGATGGGGTAGGACTACCATATCTGGTCTCCAAACTTAGGGAGCACCAGGAAAGACCTATAGAAAATTCCAGCTCCGCTGCCCTCTAGTATGATCTGGATTTTTGCGGTCCAGATGGGGTAGTCCTGCTAGGATGGTAAACATGTAGATTGTGTTCTCTGGCTGGAGGGTATCTCTCAGCCTCTCCTACTTCACAGGATGTGGTAAGGCTAAAATGAAGCAAGTCCCAGGTATGTCTTCTGGAGTCACTGGGAAGAAAGGTAGAATATCAATATAAATCAATGAATCCGTGCCCCATCTTTTTGCTAAATGCATGATGCTGGTAAGAGATAAATCAATGAATAACAGACACTCAAGAAGGCTATGCATTGTGTACATCAAATTATAATGAACAAAAATTGAATTCTGTAATCCCCATTTGGTGCCGTGTACAGAAGCTGTATGCTATGCCTTATATCAATATTGCATCTTTCATCAGGGCTGCATCTTTAGTCTACTTTTCTCTCCTCTCCCATTTTGATTGCAAAAATATATATAATTTGATCTAGCTTTGCCAAGCTGCTTCCTCACAAGGAGTGAGGGTGCACTCCAGATTGCTGAAAACTTCGCAGCCTTCTGACTTCTGGGATAAATGCAGACCTTGCTTTTTTTTTTTTTAGTTTCTTCTTTGACACATCTGAAACCTAGACTGCTTCTCTTCAACTAGCTCCCTTCAGACCTATTGGACTTCAGACTCTCAGACCTGAAGGCTAGGCTGCTTAGAAGTTCTGAGACTGGAGTGCAACACATTTGGAGGGACCATCAGTCTAGACCAGTGTTTCTCAATCTCAGCGACTTTAAGATGTGTAGACTTCAGACTGCAACTCCCAGAATTCCCCAGGGGAATTGAAGCCTACACATCTTAAAGATGTAGGCTTCACAGAGTTGAAGCCTACACATCTTAAGGTTGCTGAGATTGAGAAACATTGGACTAGAAGTTAGATGATGATGATGATGATGATTTTGGTAAAGAAAACTAGAATTTGATAACACAATCTGCACACAGGCTGTGCACCTTTTCTGAGTTTGGGATGGTGACAGCACGTTACCCAGCCCTTCTTGACCATCTGTGGTTCTCTCATAAAGCCAGGGTTGGATTCTAAAAATCCACGAAGTTTCAGGGTTGCATCTCTCCTCTCTCTAACAGATCAGCCTAGCCCCGAGTCTCCCGTTTCACTAAAACCAGGCCTGGTGGTTGTGATCTGCATCTTCGTCTCCATCTTGTTCATTGGCGCAGTTGTGGTCTTAGTGAAATGCTGCCATCGGAGGGAACCAGCCTTCAAGAAGCTGGACGAGGTGCCAATGGTGTGTAGACCAGGGAGGTGTGTAGGCCAACTGGGAGAGTGGGAGGTTGAAAATGCTGGTTCAAGGTCATACTTCTATTCCTGGCTTCAAATGTTGATAAACTGGATAGATGTGGCATTTGAGAAGGCTCCATTTCAGCTCTTACCCTCTCTCTGTTTTTCTTGGCAGAGAAGAGTTGCAGAAGATTCTCCATTTGCCCGATACCCACCAAAATAACCAAGCACACCCTTTCCAACTCCTCTTGTGGATTCTTGCTCCATGGATACTTGAAGCAGGCATCAAGAATGTCTGCTTCCCATAGTGATTTTGTGTGTGAAATAAACTTATTCTGGTTGTATGAGGCCAATTACTACTTTGTCCCACTTAGCTGTTCTTGTGTGTGTGTGTGTGTGTGTGTGTGTGTGATATTTATGTCTCAGTTTAGATAAATATTTATTTTGCAGATGCCTTCTTAAACTTGAAGCTTTTTGCACAGCTACTGAGCTCTTGAGCAATGCTCTAATTTGATGCTGCAGCTCATTTCTTGCACAACTTAGCTCTCCTGCCACTGGGACATTAGCGATCAAAACGCTATGTGATACAGAGGTGAAATCAAGCAGAGAGCAAAGCAAGGCCTATCTGTAAAACATGTCAGAGGCCCAACAATTATGTATTACAGTTGCTCTGTGAAAGCATATGTAAAAGAGGGAAGCCCTGAGTATTTGCCGAGTTCCTTTCTCCAAGTGAAACATCATTACTTTAAAAAAGTAAAGGGAACCTTAGCTAAGAAATTTGCCATTAATTTCTGCAGAGCCTACACACCGGAAGGCACCATTTCTATCCATTCACCTTTGTTCTGCATAAATGCTATGCTTTACAGGGTTATTGGTCTAAAGCAGTGTTTCTCAACCTGAGCAACTTTAAGAGGTGTGGACTTCAACTCCCAGAATTCCCCCGCCACCACTCTCTCTTCCTTCCTTTTTGGGAGGGGGTTCTTGGGGGGTAAGGTCAACACCTTTAAAGATGGTCAGGGTGGGGAAAAACA